TGAAGTTACGTATTGCTTGGTGGTGGTGTTGGTCGTGGTAGTTGTGGTGGTGGTGTTGGTAATGGTAGTTGTGGTGGTGGTGTTGGTCGTGTAGTTGTGGTAGTGTTGGTAGTGATAGTTGTGGTATTGTTGGTGCGGTAGTTGTGTGGTGGTGTTTGTCGGTAGTGCTGTAATTAGTTGTGGTAGTGTTTGTAATGGTAGTTGTAGTTGTGGTAGTGTTGGTAGTGGTAGTGGTGGTGGTGTTGGTACGGTTGTAATGCTGGTAATAGTAGCTATGGTAGTTGTGGTCGTAAGGTAATGGTAGTTGTAGAAGCTGTGGTCGTGCTGGTACGGTGGTTGTTAGAGTGTAATTTAAACCCACACCCTACAAACCACCATTCAACCAAACAAACACCACCACCACACAACCACACCACCCAACACACAAACCAACACAACCACCACCAACACCCACAACCACCCATCCACAAAACAACAACACCACCCTATAGCAAACTATTTAAACCACAATACCACCAACACCACCCCTAACAAACCACCAACCACGACCAACACGCTGACAACAACCACTCAACCACGACCAACAAGCTGACAACCATAAACCACGACCAACTAGCCCACGACCACGAGATCACCATCAACAACAACCACCACCACCTGACCTCTTACCACCACCAACAGATGACTAAACTACACTGCCCACCTAACTACCACCAGCCTCTAACGACGTGTGAACGGTGACCACAGATATGACGCTCCGTGACCTGGCTAAACCGACTCAATTAACCCCCAACCATCACGTCAGAGCAGATAACGAGGTGGACAATCGACAGTGGGTCATTACGCCCGTCCGGTCCGGAAGTGGGTCATTTTCTGGTGTTTAACTAATTAGAGGGACAGTTGTGTCTGATTAATATCACGGCGACGGCAAGTATGGTGTTCGGTCACGGCCGGATGGTGGGCCGGCTGGACCGTGGGGGGAGGGGTAGTAACTATGTGGGTGTAGCTGTGTGGGCTCATGTGTGTGTGTGTGTGTGTGTGTGTGTGTGTGTAGGGGTGGGAGTGTATGTATGAGTGTGTGTGTGTGTGTGTGTGTGTTCGTGTGTGTGTGTCTGTGTGTGTGTGTGGCAGTGGAGGTATGTAAGGTGTGTGTGTGTGTGTGCATGTGGGGTGTATTGAAGTCAAGCATCCTCGCTTTGGGTAAGCGAGTGACCGGGTTCGATCCCGGGCAGGTGAAACTATGGGCAAGTTTCTTTACGCCATTAGCCCCCTGTCCACCCAGCGGATCGTGTTCCGGGGTAATGGTTAGCCAGTGCAGTTGGCGAGTTGTCCGGTCTTCTCCGACTATTCCTTGACACTGGGTCATGCGGCTCGATAACTCAGGGTGTGGTTGTTGTGTTGGCGACAGCTTCTACACCTTACACAAATTCACGCCTAGGGTGGCCTAGGGACGGGCCATATCCTCGTTACAATGAGGGCAACCATTATTATTAGCAGTAGTAACTCAAAAAATAGCCACAGCACCTTTAAAACAGCCCCAAATAGACCCAGTGCCTTCAAAAGTAGCAATACAATAGCCACTATACATTAAAACCAGCCCAAATCCAACCAATACCTTAGAAACATTCCCAAATAGCCCCTAACACCATAAAACTAGCCCCGAATAGCCACAATACCTTAGAAATATCCCCAAATCACCCATAACACTTAAAAAATAGGCCAACATTGCCACAATATCCTAAAAGTAGCCCAAAATAACCTCAACAATCTAAAAATAGCCACTATACCTACAAAAATAGACAAACGGTCTTAAAAATAGCTCCCAAAATAATCACACTCCTTTAACATAAGATAATTTAGGCAATTATAAAAAAACCCACAGGTAAAGGACCCAGGTGTTCCTCCTCCTCCCTCATTATATTCGCAATGACATCTGTACCCACTGGAGAAGGTGGGCGGCAGATGTCACCCTTGGCGCACTAATGTGAGAGCTCGTTAGGTACATTGTTCATGGGTGTTTCTTTTACGCCTCCTCCAACCCTTTTAACCCAATTCACTACCTACCCACCCACCCCACACCCACCCACCTCGCTACACACACCCAACCTTCCCACCACACCACCACACCCACCACCACACCACACCACACACACACTTTAACTATTGTTGTTATTGAGTTATTATTGCCGTTATTTTGTTATTATTATTGGTATTATTATTATTTGTTATTGTTGTTAGCTGTTATTGTTGTTATTGATGTTGTTGTTATTGTTGTTATCCTATTTCCTTATTTGCACTTTTGGCGCTTGGATATTTTCACAGTCTCTCTCTCTCTCTCTCTCTCTCTCTCTCTCTCTCTCTCTCTCTCTCCTATCAGGGGAGGAGTTAGATACAAACAGTAGGTAAGTGCCAAGTAACAGTACCTAATCCAAGTTCAGAGTGATGACGAACCACCGAACCACCACAAAATCACCTAACCATCAAACCACCGAACTACCAGACCATCAAACCACCGAACCATCCAAACCACACAACCACACAAACCACCGAAACACTAAATCACCGAACTACCAGACCATCAAACCACGAACCATCAAACCACACAACCACCAAACCACCGAAACACTAAACCACCGAACCACCAAACCACTAAACCACCGAACCAACAAACCACAGAACCATCAGACCACCGAATCACCAAACCACCAACCAACAAACCACAAAACCACCGAACCATCAGATCACCAAACCACCGAGACATCAACTTTTGGATCACACCTTTAATTTGAAATTTCCAGTTTAAATTAATTGGCTACATTTTACAGTGTTTAACTCACCCTACTATACTACCTCAGCCTGACTTAACTGGTGGATATTTTACGTACGTGAGAATATTCGATCGTTTTTTCTATATTTCTGACAGAAGAAACTCAAACACCTCTACACTACATTATGTAAAGGTGTAGCATAGTGTAGTGTAATATACTACCTCTACACTACACTATGGTACACCTACACACCTCTACTACACTACACCTCTACACTACGCTACACCTCCACTGCACTGCTACACCTACCTACACCTCTACACTACGCTACCTACACCTCCACTGCAGTAGACTACACCTACTACTACACCTCTACACTACCTACACCTACACACTACACCTCCACACTGCACCCACTTACACCTACTACACTACTCTACACTACCTCACACCTACACTACACCTACACAGTAGACTACACCTACACACTACACCTCTACATTACACTAGGCTACACCTACACACTACTACGCACCTCTACACTATACTATGGTACCTTACACAAGACCTCAACACTACAGTACTATGCTACTTACACACTACACCTCTACACTGCACTACGCCTCTACACTACACTACGCTACACTACACACTACACTACCTCTACACCTACACATTACACCTCACATTACACTACGCTACACCTACACACTACCTACTACGCTACACACATTACACCTCTATACACTACACTACACCCACACTACCTCTACACACACTACCTACACCCACACATTACACCTCTACATTACTACGCTACACCTACACACTACACCTCTACACTACACTACCTCTCACATCCATTACACTACACTACACCTCACTACACCTCTACCACTGCTACATACACCCACACACACACTACACCACACCTCACACTACACCACTTCACACCTACACACTACACCTTACACTACACCTACACACCACACTACGCTACACCTACACACTACACCTCTACACTACACTACGCTACATCACTACACTACACTACATCACTACACTACTACGCTACACCTACACACTATACGCTACACCTACACACTACCATCTACACTACACACTACACACCTCGGTCCAGTCATACAGGTGAGGCTATAATCTGCCAGGAACAACCTCTCGTAGGTGACAATTTTCACACTGCTCCTCCCAAGTCCCAGCACCTGAAACCTAACACCTAGCATCAAGGAGACAACACCTAGCACCTAGCAACCATCACTCAGTACCTAGCAGCCAACACAGGACCCAGCACATGGACCCATTGCTCAGCATCTGGGAGCCAACACCCAGGACCCAGCACTAGGACCCCTCCAGCAGCATCTGGAGCCAACACAGGACCACACCTAGGACACAATACCTGAACTCAGCACCTAGGACTCAACACTCAGCACCTAGAAGCCATCTGCTATATATCCTCCCTTAGATGTGAGGAGAAGGCAGGTAGGGAGGGAGGAAGGAAAGGGGAGTGAGGGAGGGAGAGGGCAGATAAGGAGGAGGGAGGGAAAGGGGGAGTGAGGGAGGGAGGAAGGGAAGAAGGGGGAAAATGAGAGAGCAAGAGAAAAGAGGAGGAAGGAATGGATGAAATAGAGGAGGGAAGAGGAGAAGAATGAGTTGAGAGTGACGGTGGAGAGAAGGATGGGGGGGGGGCATGCAGGGAAGTAATGATGGGCATAGGCAAGAGTGGTCAGTAGGGCAGGATTAATGATAAGTAGGATGAGGGTGATGGGCAGGGCATGAGTGATGGGCAAGACAGAGGAATGATGGGCAGGGCATGGTGATGGGTAGGTGAAAGGGGTGAGCGAGTGGGCAGGTCAAGGTGGTTTAACCTGTGTACACTCCTGAAGGTGTGACGCTAATGACCTGGTCCATCTTGTCAGGTCTGCCTGCTGTTGTTTAAGTGCTGTTTTATTGTTCATGTTGTTGTTTAAATGTTGTTGCTGTTTTTGTTGGCTGTTATATCTCTTCATATAATATGTATTTACACATAGTTTTACATACAAGTTAATATAATTATGCATTATCCAATACTGCACGTGCACGCCCACACACACACAGGTGTGGCCAAAACCCAACACCTGTAATAATCCTAAATATCTGAGGTGAGGTGCCTGATATGGAGGGCGAGGAGATGAGTCAGAGTATGAGGGTCATCCTTATACACGGACAATAGCAAAACCCACCGGATCCTTTAGTGAGGTCACCTGTGTGTGGGTAGGCTGGGGATTAGTGGCTAGGCCTCTTGTTCAGGGAGGACACTTGGCTGTACCGCGACACACCTTCACCATCATCTCCTTCAGGGCCGCAAATTTGGTCTTTTCTTTTTCTTTTTTATAAGACATATTAACAAACGGTGATTTTTGTTGAAATTTATTATTATTATTATTATTATTATTATTATTATTATTACAGCGCAGAATACAAGAGGATATTTGCCTGGCTGGACCAACATCACGACACATTGTACATTCATGATTATTTTCTCCTTCATGACCTGAAACTTTGGTATAAAATAAAAAAGAAGAAGAAAATAAATAAATAAAACCCAACGATAAATTTGCTTAAAAATACATCAGTGAGTTGAGTATTACGCCAGAAGAGGAGACACACAACACAACACAACACAACACACCTAGACAAGACGGACCAAAACATCAACACATCCCTAAGGCTCTAACATCACTTGCCCTCTCCGTAACCATAGACACAACTCAAGGTAGGTTAGGTTAGGTTAGGTTAAAGGTGATGATGAGGGGAAGGACAATGGGATGATATTTGAGATGATAGGCAGATGTAGATGGAAGAGGAGGAGAGTGCCAAGAAAGGAATAAAAGACGGAGGAAAGAGCAAGAATGAAGGGAGGAGAGGTAGACGAAAGAATGGATAGTTACAGTGTAAAAAGAGACCAGCGGAAAGAGGATAGCGTAGGGGTGGAGGGAAGGAGGTTCTATACCCAGGTGTTGGTTTGCCATTGTGGTGATTAGGAGGTGGTGGTCACTGCTCCCCAGGGGTACTGGTTGGGTAAGGTTAGGTTGGAGTAGGTTGGGTTGGGTTAGGATTGGTTGGATTAAAGACGTATTAAGACTGGATCATTTCACACCCCCAAATCTCCCACCCCCTCACTCAAACACCTCCAGAACACACCACACCCCGAAAAAAAACCTGAATACTCCCCAACACCCCCAAAGTCACCCCAGGCTGTCTCTTAGTATCTGGGGGAGGAAAAAGTGTTCCCTCGAACAATTACTGGAAACACGGCGCCGAGACGTGACTGTAGCGTTAATGAATTCTAACTGGCGGTCAATTATTACCCCGTTAATCCCCAAAAATATACATGTTTGTGTGTGTGTGTGAGACACCCATTAACTCTCTCTCTCTCTCTCTCTCTCTCTCTCTCTCTCTCCTCTCTCTCTCTCTCCTCACAGAGGATATCTACAATAATTTCGTTGGGAAATATAATATAACTGTCAGGCTGTGTTCTTTCAGTGTAGCCATTCAGGTGTGGCTCCTCAGGTGTGCCCCTCAGCTGGGCTTATATAAATCACCGAGTTGGCCACACCGAAAGATGGCCATCGACCGTGACCAAGGGTGAGAACTGCCCTCACCCGGGGCAAGACCCAGATGATGAGATAGTGAGACGCTCATCTAGGAGGCAGGGGGAGGTGGGGAGGAGTTAGGGAGGAGAATGTGGTGGAGAGAAGAAGTGTAAAAGGTAAGGATGGAAAAAAGAGAAGAAGGGAAGGAGGAGGGAAGAGATGGGAAAAGTGGGAAATTAAAGGAGTGAGGAAGGGAAGGGAGAGGGAGAGAAAAAAAAGGATGTGGGGGAGGTGAAAGAGTGGAGGGAAAGGAAGAAAGGAGAAAGGAGGAGGAGGAGGGGGAAGAAAAGGGAAGGGTGTGGGGGAGGTGAGAAGGAAGAGAGTAAAGGAGGAAAGGAAGGAAAACATGGGAGGTATGAGTGAGAATTTTTTATGTCAGAAAAAAGAAAAGTTTACTTCACACACACACACACACACACACACACACACACACACACACATACATTCTCTGTACAATTATCTACTCTGTGTGTGTGGAGACCAGCAGGTTCATGACATAACAGTGGATGACATTAAAACCTGACAGGAGAGGTCAGGGTGCCGTCCCCTGGTCATAACCCAATACTGATCTCTCTCTCTCTCTCTCTCTCTCTCTCTCTCTCTCTCTCTCTCTCTCTCTCTCACGAGGCACCCCATCCTTGGGGAGGACAACCAGTTCTTGGGGAGGGCCACCAGTACATGGGAGGGAAGCCAGTGGGAGGGCCCAGTACTTGGGAGAAGCCAGTACTTGGGGAGGGCCACCAGGAGGACCTCAAGTGGAGGCCACCAGTACTTAAGGAGGGCCACCAGTTCTTGGGGAGGGCCACCACTTCTTGGGTGAGCCCCAGTACTTGAAGAGGGGCCACCAGTACTTGAAGAGCCACCAGTATAGGAGGGCCACCAGTTCTTGGGAGCCACCAGCACTTGGGAGGGCCACCAGTACTAGGGAGGGCCATCAGTTCTTGGGAGGGCCACCAGTCCTGGGAGGGCCACAGTTTTGCACACCAGCTTGAAGAGGGCCACCAGTACTTGGGAGGCCACCAGCTAAGGGGAGGGCCACCAGTGCGGGGAGGGCCACCAGAATTAGGGAGGGCCACCAGTTCGGGGGAGGCCACCAGGACTTGGGAGGGCCACCAGTACTAGGAGGGCCACCAGTTCTTTGGGAGGGCCACCAGTACTTGGGGAGGGCCACCAGTCTCTGGGGAGGGCCACCAGTTCTTGGGAGGGCCACCAGTCTTTGGGAGGGCCACCAGTACTTGAGAGGGCCACCAGCCTGGGAGGCCACTGGAGAGGGCCACCAGTCCTGGGAGGGCTCACCAGGGGGAGGGGCCACCAGTTCTTGGGAGGGCCACCAGTTCTTGGGGAGGGCCACCAGTTCTGGGGAGGGCCACCAGCATTCGGGAGGGCCACCAGCATTGGAGGGCCACCAGTACTTGGGGAGGGGCCACCAGTGCCTGAGAGGCCACCAGCATGAGGAGCACCAGTACCACCAGTACTTGGGAGGGCCACCAGAGGGCCAATTGGCTAAGGAGGGCCACCAGTATTGGGGAGGGCCACCAGCATTGGGGAGGGCACCAGACTTGGGGAGGGCCACCAGTGGCCGAACACTAGCACTTGGGAGGGCCACCAGTACTTGGGGAGGGCCACCAGTACTTGGGGAGGGCCACCAGCATTAGAGGCCACCAGTACTTGGGAGGGCCACCAGTACTGGGAGGCCACCAGTTCTGGGAGGGCCACCAGTAGCTTGGGAGGGCCACCAGCACTTGGAGAGGGCCACCAGTGCTTGGGGAGGGCCACTGCAGTCTCTGGGAGGGCCACCAGTCTGGGGGAGGCCACCAGTACTTGGGAGGGCCACCAGGCCACCAAGCTTGGGGAGGGCCACCAGTTCTTGGGAGGGCCACCAGTGCTTGGGAGGGCCACCGTAGCACTTGGGGAGGGCCACCAGTACTAGAGGGCCAACGTACTAGAGGGCCACCACTTGGGGGGGCCCACCAGTGATTGGGAGGGCCACCAGCCTGGGAGGGCCACCCAGCACTAGAGGGCCAGTACTTGGGGAGGGCCACCAGTACATGAGGGCCACCAGTACTTGGGAGGGCCACCAGTGACTAGAGGCCACCAGGCCTGGGAGGCCACCAGGCCTTGGGAGTGACACGCAGTACTGGGAGCCCAGAGGGCCACCAGTACTAGGGGCCACCAGTACTTGGGGAGGCCACCAGTATTGGGGAGGGCCACAGTGCTTGGGGAGGCCAACCAGTACTTGGGGAGGGCCACCAGTACTTGGGAAGGCCACCAGTTCTGGGAGGGCCACCAGTTTGGGAGGGCCACCAGTACTTGGGGAGGGCCACCAGTACTGGGAGCCACCAGCATCAGAGGGCCAGTACCAGAGGCCACCAGTGCTTGGGAGGGCCACCAGAGTTTGGGAGGCCACCAGTACTTGGGGAGGGCCACCAGTACTGGAGGGCCACCAGTACTTTGGGGAGGGCCACCAGTACCTGGGGAGGCCGGGGAGGACCATGAGTGACTCTACAGTAATGAGCACTAAAGATGGACCTGGCAGATTACGCCCCTCAACACTACTGCAGTTTCTCTCTCCCACCACCCATTTATCTCTCTCCGTTCTTCCCCTCTCATCCTCTCGCCATCCACTCCCTGCCTCTCTCCACCAAGCCATCTATCCATCCATCCTTACTTCCCTCCATCCATCTCTCCTTCCCTCTCTCCCTCTGTCCTCCACCTGTTCCTCTAGGCTGAGTTACCCAGAAGATGGGAGGGAGGGAAAGGCAGGAAGGAAAGGAAGAAGGGAGGAAGGAAGATCTTAAATAGAGCGAGGGAGGGAGTGATGGAGGAAGGAAGTGAGGGAGGGAAGGAGAAAATGAGGCTGTGGGGGAGAACCACTGAGAGAGAGAGAGAGAGAGAGAGAGAGAGAGAGAGAGGGGTGTACACATCCGCCGACAGGAAAGTAACAATTTGTAGTGCGTATGTTTAAATGGACATGAGGGTGTTGCTAATTAATAACGTGTGTGTGTGTGTGTGTGTGTGTGTTCTCGCTGACACCAACTGTAGGAGCATCGAGGCTACCATTATCCATGAACAACCACGCTGAACTGGCCATGTTACCCACATGGACGACAGTAGACTGCCAAAGCAGCTACTTTACAGTCGACTAACGAATAGTAAACGCAACGCTGGCGGGCAACTGAAAAGGTATAATGATAGTCTTAAGACAAACCTGAAAAAGTGCCAAATCGACCCCCTCACCTGGGAGACGATTACTCCGCACAGTAACACTTGGAGGAGCACCACACGAAAAGGTGTCAATAATTTCGAGTTAGCCCGACTGCATACCGAGGCAGACAAGCGCCAGTGCCGGAAAGATGCTGCCGCCGCCCCTCCCGCACTAGACGTAGCCCTCCACATGCAACATCTGTGGACGGCCCTGCCGGTCCTGTTCGATATCTCTAGTCACCTCAGAGCTCACCAATGAAAGTGGCAGCCTTAATAACTCATATCATTGTATCATAGTTGGATGATCGTCATACTCGATTCCGAGTGACAGCAAAGAAGAAATAGTAGTAGTAGTAGTAGTAGGTGTGTGTGTGTGTGTGTGTGTGAACCTTCATCAACTTACCACTACACCGTAACTCACAATTCATTATATTTGAGACACAACAATTTAACAATATATATATATATATAATCACCCCAACACACCTGTAAATTAACTGTCATCCCTCCCTCCCTCCCTCACTACTTCCTTCCCTCCCTCCCTCCATCCTCCATCATACTCTCCTTCCTCCCTCCTCCCATCCTCCATCACCTTTCTCTCCTTCCCTCCCTCCCTCCCCTCCCCATCATACCTTCCTCCATCCCTCCCTCCTCCATCATACCTTCCCTCCCCCCTCCTTCCTCCTCCATCCTCCATCATACCTTCCCTCCATCCTTCCCTCCCTCCCTCCCCATCATACCACATTATTGACGTCATTTCTCGTTATAGCCTAATAACACAGAGTCCTCACCTTTGCACACCTGTTACATGGGGTCAAACCTGGTCTCCCCGGCCCGCCACCACCTTGTTAAGTTGAACGAGGATTTGTATAATATATTGGGCGTTAGTCAATAGCCTTAAATTACCGCCCGGGTGTGTGTGAGTGAGTGTGTGTCTTTAATACAGGTCCTCAGCAGCCCGAAATGACAACCCAATAACGGACAATAACGGACAATAACAACCCTCCTTGAACCATAAACTAACACCATTCAATAACACACTCCTGGGTTATAAACATTCCCCCCATAGTATTTAACCCGTAGTTCTAAGATTAACCCCCCTCTCTCTATCACCTCGGTTTAGCACTGTGTTCCCCCTTTAAACTCTAGCCCCTTAAAGACGATGATCCCACACTCTCTGCCGATAAAAACATCCTTTCCCTTACTGGCCCCACCACACCAAAAAATGAAGACTGAATTACGAGGCGTGATATCCTACCCCCCCTCCCCCACCCCCTACCCAACCCCAACCCCTCCCCCTCCAAAATACATCCAATCAAATGATGTGGAATACAAAAGGTTAAAATGTGGTAATGTTTTCGCCCCAGAAAATGCATTCAGACATCACACATTACCCTTATTTCAATCAAGATGAAGGGGGGGGAGGGGTAAGGGGGTAGGGAGTCGGGTAGGGGTAGTAGGGGTGGGGGGTAGGGTGGGGTGAGGAGGGCAGGGCAGGGGATGGTTGGAGAGTACACCTGATTATATATTACAGGTTAGACATTTGATTATTGTCATTTCCTATCACAACATTCCGACACACACACACACACACACACACACACACACACACACACACACACACACACAACAAAAACTATAATATTTCCTCTGCGAATATTACCCATATAAAATCCCAGGTCTTTTTTTTTTGTCATTTAGGGATAACATCAATGGGGTTTTTTTTGTCCTCCCTCTCCACCGTGTACATATTATATTAAAGTAATGGTATATTGGGATCTTTTATTTACCTGTTTTGTTGTCGTGGCTTTTGTTTTCAGGTCAGCGATTCTGTGATGTGTTTTTTGCCGAGTAATTTTTATTTATTTATTTGTTTTCGATTTGTGATTTTTTTTTTGGGAGGGGGGAATTCTTTATTTTTTGGAGCATGTTTAATATGATAAGGAATTATTTAACTTATTTTAGGGAATTATATGGATTATTTTTTTGGGGGAGGGGAAGGTTTTATTTTATTTTAAGGTGATTTGTATAATTTTAGGTAATTATTTATTTATTTTAGGGAATTTTAGATTCATTTATATTTTTTTGGGGGGGAATACTTTTTGCCCTTTATTATAATATATAATATATAATATAATATATTTTTATTGTCGTTGTGGGTTGTGGTGGTGCCTTCCTGACTATACTCCCTCCCTCCCTCCCTCCCTCCCTCACTTAGTAATTGGTCCGGTGGGGCCCATATCACCATCAACCTTCCCCATCACCATCAACCCTCCCCCATCACCATCAACCCTCCCCATCACCAATACTCTCTCAATCACACTACACCTCACGCCACACCACACCACACACCATACAATTGGCCACACACACCAAACCACACCACGCACACCACACCATACACCAGCTGGCCCACACACACACCACACTATACCACAACACACTATACACCATACACCACACACCACACCACACCACACCATTACCACCATACCACAACACACCATACACCACACCACACACCACACCACACCATACCACAACACACCATACACCACACCACACCCCACACCACACCCCCACACCACACCCCACACCATACACCACACCACACCACACCACAACACACCATACACCACACCACACCACACACCAAACCACACCATACCACAACACACCATGTTCACACCATACCACAACACACCATACACCACACCACACACCAAACCACACCATACCACAACACACCATACACCACACCACACCACACACCACACCACACCCCCACACCATACACCACACCCCACACCATACACCACACCATACACCACACACACCACACCCCACACCACACCATACCACAACACCATACCACACCCCACACCAGCCACACACACCACACCACACCATACCACAACACACCATACACCACACCATACACACACCACACACCACACCACATACACCACACCATACACCACACCCCACACCATCATAATCTCAATTATCAAGAATAATACCAACCTTACCGAGGGAGGGGGAGAAGTCGCTATTCACCCTGGAGGTAGAAACAAGCGGTAAGAGGTAGAGGCAAGAGGTAGAGGCAAGAGGTAAAGATAAGAGGTGAGAGGTAGGGGTAGAGGTAAGAGGTAGAGGCAGGGTGGGGCAAGGGTGAGGGGCAGAGGTGAGGTGGAGAATAGAGGTGAGGGTGGGGTGGAGGTGGGAGTGGAGAGGTGAGGTGGAGGTGGGAGTGGGGGTGGGGGTGAGGTAGGAGGAGAGAGATAGAGGTGGAGGTGGAGGTGGATGTGGAGGTGAGGTAAGAGGAAGAGGTAAGGGTGGGGAGTGGGGTGAGGTGAGATAAGAGGTGAGATGTGGGGGTGGGGTAGAGGGTGGGGTGAGATAGAGGGTGGGTGGGGTGGGGAGGTAAGGTGGAGGTAGAGGTAGAGGTGAGACAAAGGTGAGGTGGAGGCAGAGTTGGGGTAAAGGTGGGGCAAGGGGTGGGGGTGGGGTAGAGGTGAGGTAAAGGTAGAGGTGAGACAAAGGCCAGAGGTGGAGGCAAGAGGTGGGGTGGGGGTAGAGATAAAGGAGTGAGGATGTGAGGTAGAGGTGAGAGGTGGGAGTGGGAGATGGGGTGGGTGGGGTGGAGGTAAGTGGGGTGGGGGTAGGGGTAGAGACAAAGGTTAAGAGGTGAGGCCAAGGTGGGGGGTGGGGTGAGGTGGGGGTGAGATGGAGGTGAGATGTGGGGGTAGAGGTGAGGTGGGGTGAGAGATAAGGGTGGAGGTGGGGAGGTGAAGGTGAGACAAAGGTAGAGGCAAAGAGGTAGAGGTAAAAGGTAAGAGGTAAGAGGTAGACGTAAGAGGTGAGACAGAGGAAAGAGAAGCTCCAATTAAGCAAGCAATTAACCGGGTCCTCACTGATAACAGCATCATTCATACTCACCTCATACTGAATAATTAGTATGACTCAATACACACTAAACACGGTGGGTCATTAGGAGGGACGTAATTTATCCTAAATACCAGTTAGTGAAGAGTGATGCTGTGGGCTGACTCTGAGTGGGTTGATGTTGTGCTGACAGGAGTGGATTGATGTTGTGGGCTGACTCAAGTGGATTGATGTTGTGGGCTGACTCAAGTGGATTGGTGTTGTGGGCTGACAGGAGTGGATTGATGTTGTGGGCTGACTCGGCAAACTACAGGAAGATCTAAACAAATTTTTCGAATGGTCTGAAAAATGGCAGATGAAATTCAACGTCGACAAATGAAAGTACTCAGTATAGAGATGTAAACA